CGGAGTGAGACTCCAACTCAAAAAGAAAATAAAGCACTTTTAGAAATAAGCCAAATGTCTATTACTCTCTTGTTATATATATATATATATATTATATGTATATATGTAAAAGCCTAATGTCCATCAACAGATGAATGGATAAACAACATGTACCCTAGTGCCTCCTTATCCGTGGATTCCCTTTCCATGGTTTCAGTTACCTGAGGTCAACTGAGGTCAGAAGATGTTAAATGGAAAGTTCTAGAAATAAACAAGTCATATGTTGTAACTTGCATGACATTCTCAGTAGCCTAATGAAGTCTTGCACCATCCTGCTCCAGCCTGCCTGGGATGTGAATCGTTCCTCCATATATGCTGCCTGCCCTGCCAGTCACTTAGTACCTGGCTCGGTGATTGAGTCAACTGTCAGGTATCAGTATGGCAGTTTTTGTGTTTAAGTCACCCTTATTTTACTCAATAGCCCCAAAGGCAAGAGTATGAGGCTGATGACTTGAATATGCCAAAGAAAAGCCAGAAAGTGCTTCCTTTTAGTGAAAATTTTAGACTTAATAAAGAAAAAAATGGTATGCCAAGGTCGCTAAGATTTATGGTAAAAATGAGTCTTCTATCCATAAAATTGTGAAGGAAAAAGAAATGTGTGCATAGTAAGTGTGCAAAAAGAGTGTGTGTGGTACTACCTGTGGCTTCAGGCATCTACTGAGGGTCTTGGAATGTATCCCCCTTGGATAACGGGGGACTGAGGTAGCATATACAAACAATGAAATATTATTCAGCCACTAAAAGAATGAAGTTCTTATGCTACAACATGGATGAACATTAAAAACATTACACTAAGTGAAATAATCTACACACAAAAAGAAAAATATTAGCTGGGTGTGGTAGTACACACCTGTAGTCCCAGCTACTTGGGAGGCTGAGGTGGAATTACAGCCTGAGCCCAGAAGATCAAGGCTGCCATGAACTGTGATCGTGACACTGCACTCCAGCATGGGCAACAGAGATTCTGACTTGAAAAAAAAAGTATGTCACGGTGCTTTTTCAAACTTTAATGTGTATTTGTATCGCACAAGGGTCAGTATTTCTTGAATTGTATTACCACATGATTTGGGGGACTGAATAGTAGCTCTTCAAAAATTTTTACAACCTAATCCCCAGATTTTATGAATGTTATCTTACATGACAAAGGGGACTTTGTGGATATGATTAACGATTGGGTGGGGGAGTATCCTGGAGTATCTTGGGTGGGCTTCTAAGTATAATCACAAGTATCCTTACAAGAGGGAGCCATCAGGAGTCAGAGTGAGAAAAAGGCTATGTGACAATGGAAGGAAAGAGAGACTGGAAGATTCTACACAATGGCATTGAGGATGGGGCTATGAGCTAAGGAATGCAGGTAGCCTCTGAGAACTAGAAAGACAAGGAATTGAATTTTCCCTTAGGCTTTCCAGAAGAAATCCAGACCTGCTGCTGACACCTTGATTTGATTTTGTTTTATTTTTTTTTTTGAGTTGAAGTCTCACTCTATCACCCAGATTGGAGTGCAGTGGCCGCTCCCAGCCACTGCAGCCTCGACCTGCTGGGCTCCGATGATCCTTCTGCCTCAGCCTTCCAAGTAGCTGGAACTACAGGCATGTGCTGCCACACTCACTGACTTTTGGTTTATTGTAGAGATGAGGTCTCGCCAAGTTGCCCAGACGAGTCTCGAACCCGCAGGCTCAGGCAATCCACTCACCTCAGCCTCCCAAAGTGCTGGGATTACAGGCTGAGCCACCGAGCCCAGCTGACACCTTGATTTTAGACCACTGAAACTGATTTCAGATTCTAGAACTGTAAGGTAACACATTTTTGTTCTTTTAAGACATTAAATCTGTGGTACTTTATTACAGCAGCAATGGGAAACTAATAGAAAACAATTTCAATTTCTTTAAAATGGAACTTACACTGAATTCAAGTGACAACAGGAGAAAATGTTATTTTATTAAAACCATTGTTTATACACTAAAAACAGAGTAACAACAAAACTCCCAAAAACAAATTTACACAACCATTACAAGTTGTCTTAGATAAATTTACTTACATGGAATACATGATATACTAGGATATAGGCAGATTTGTTTGACTGAGTCAGTCTCACTCTGTTGCCCAGGCTGGAGTGCAGTGGCTTGCTCACAGTTACTGCAGCTTCTACCTCAGCCCTCTAAGTAGCTGGAACTACAGGTATATACCACCACACCTGGCTAATATTTTTAATTTATTGTAGAGAGGAGGTCTCAAACAGCTGGGCTCAGGCAACCCTCTAGCCTCCGTCTCCCAAAATGCTGGGATTACAGGCATGAACCAACATGCCTGGCCTAAAAATGTATTTTTAAGTTCCTTATGGTGCTATGGGTTGAACTGTGTCTCCTCAAAGTTTGTATATTGAAGCCCTAACCCCAAATGTGAGTATATCTGGAGATAGAGCTTTTAGAAGACAGAGCTGAGATCATAGGTGTGGGATCCTAAGCTGATAGGATTAGTGGTCTCCATGAACATGCACTGTGGAAAGAAGGTGCCTGTCTGCAAGCTAGGAGAAAAGCTGTCACCAGAACTCAACCATGCTAGTACTCTGATATTGGGCTTCCAGACTCCACAACTGTGAGAAAATAAATTTCTGTTAATATTTGTCACTTGTGACATCCTCATACTCTTGATTTTATGATTTAAGCAGACAATATAAAATGATGGTTAATTTTTTTAGATGACTGCATCAATTGTAATAAAAGTATATGCTTTAAAGTCTTCAAAAGTAAGACAGTTACAATCAGTCATTCTATGTTAAAGTAGTCATTTGACATTAGTCTTATATAATTAGGATGACAATATGCTTGATTTGCTTGGGATAGCCCTGATTTATATCTTATATACTGGTATAATTATTAGCAGTGCCTGCTTTCACCTTAAAAGGGCCCAGTAAACTATGACTATTTTATATATAATCAATTGAGGAATCAAATACTTACAATGAAGAAATTTTATAAATGAAGTGTTTAGTTTGGGACAGAAGATGCTACCTATCACTAAAATCTAGAAAATACAGTTGTGACAGTATATAATATTCAATTATTTAAATTTTTTTTTCCCCACAGGGAATCAAAGTCAATCTTATGAGTGAATTGAAAAGTACTAAGAACCAGGCGCCAAAATATTTTTAGTTAATTTTGAAACCACTCAAAAATCCAAAAATTGGCTGGGTGTGGTGGCATGTACCTGTAGCTACTTGGGAGGCTGGAATGGGAGGATTGCTTGAGCCCAGGAGTTCAAGGCTGCAGTGAGCCATGGTCATGCCACTGCATTCCAGCCTAAGAGACAGAGAAACTCTTGATTCAAAATAAATAAATAAATAAAAATCCAAGATTTTAACGTATTTAAGCAAGTTAAGATTATTCAAAGGAAAACATCAATACAATACCTAGAATTCTAGAATGAATGACATTATGATTCAAACTGTAGAAATAGGCCAGGCATTATGGCTCAATGCCTGTAATACCAGTGCTTTGGGAAGCAGAGGCGGGAAGATTACTTGAGGCCAGGAGTTTGAGCCTGGGCAACATAGCAAGACCATGTCTCTGCAAAACAAACAACAACAACAAAAAAAAAAACGATCGGGTATGGTGGTGCATACCTGTGGTTCTAGCTATTTGGGAGGCTGAGTTGGGAGGACCACTTGAGCCCAGGAGTTCAAGGTTGCAATGAGCTATGATCATGCCACTGTACTTCAGCCTGGACAAAAGAGCAAGATCTGTCTCTTAAAACAAAACAAAAAAGTAGAAATAAATAGTTGGAATAATTCTGAACTTATCTGGAATTCTGATTTTCTGGAAGATATATATTCCAAACAATTTCTACATGATGTAACAGCTCCAATGTCCTCCCTTTAACATTCTGAAATAACATAAAAGACTAAAGAAGCCGGGATCGGTGGCTTAGCCTGTAATCCCGCTCTTTGGGAGGCTGAGGTGAGTGGACTGCCTGAGCCCAGGGGTTCAAGACCCACCTTGGCAACTTGGCGAGACCTCATCTCTACAATAAAATTAAAAAATTAGCTGGGTGTGGTAGTGCGCACCTGTAGTTCCAGCTACTTGGAAGGCTGAGGCGGAAGGATTGCCAGAGCCCAGCAGGTCGAGGATGCGGTGGCTGGGAGCGTGCCACTGCACTCCAGTGTGGGCAGAGTGAGACTCCAACTCAAAAAAAAAAAAAAAAAAAAAAACCTAAACAAATGGCTTAGCTTTTAGGCGTGAGATCACTAAAATCAGTTTGGTCATCTAAATTTGTATCCTATCCATAAAAATGAACATAATGATATGCTAACTCATGGTACTGGCTTATCTTGATAATAACAAAAATATGTCACTTTAAAGAATTATCAAAGTTACATTTAAAGAGAAAAACATAGCCAGGTGTGGTGGCTCAGTACTTTGGGAGGTTAAGGCAGGCAGATTGCTTGAGCCCAGGAGTTCAAGATCAGCCTGGGTAACATAGTGAAGCCTTGTCTCTACAAAAAAAAAACAAAAAAAAAATTAGCTGGGCGTGGTGGCGCATAACTATAGTCCCGGCCACTTGGGACACTGAGGAAGAAGGATTGCCTGAGCCCTGGAGGTCCTGCCTGGTCAAAAGAGTGAGACTCTAACTAGGAGAAAAAAAAAAAACATACACACACACACACACACACACACACACACACTTTATATATATATATGAAAAACAATAAAAAAATGAAAAACATCTTTTCTTCCTTGTATTTTCTAAGCAATTGGCAAAGAAAGGGAGGAAACAGTCTGAATGGTCAATTAAGATTGGCCTTGAGATCAGCCTTCCACATTTGTGAAATAGAATACCTACATCAGCTATACTGAATGCTACTGAAAACAAAAACAGGGCAAAATATAATTGCAGAATACTGCTTTAGAAAAACTTTTTAGAAAATCATAATCCTTATGTATGTTCCTTATTCATTTCACATAATCCCGATTCATTCATGCCATAGTGTGTGTTTATATTTTAAAGTAATGAATCTACTACTTATACACATCGACTTCACAGCATCAATATGTTTGCATAAGCTGAGATTCGTTTTTGAGTTATTATTCTTCCTCTGGTTCTCGTGACCGTTTCCGGGAAGTGAATGAACCTTCTGTTTGCAATGAACACGCAGTAGCAACAACAGCATCTCTAAATCCCTGAGGCTGCAAGATAAAGTATACACACTCACATACACAAATATACTTTTAAAACAATTAAAATAAAGATTAGTTATCCAAATGTTTTAAATTAACTGATAAGAAAGCTACTTAGTTCTTGAAACAGAATTTATCAGCCACTGTGAACGAAGAGGATAAACATCATGGACAGGTGTCCAAGTCAGGGCTGTATTTGAGTATTTTACACATACTTATTTACACACACACACACACACACACACACACATATATACACACCCACAGAAATAGCACTGCATTATAAAATGTTCTCTAAAGGATAGTCCTAACCAACTTCATGATAGCTCAGTCGGAAGAGGTGAAAGGAACATGTACTAATTCTTCAGTACTTCACAAATTTATTTTTACAATTAAAACTCTAAAATAAAGTAGTCCATCTAGTATATTTCAAATGCACCTGGGCAGAGCAAAGACTAAGTGGATAATTCTGTTTCAGAATCTCTTTCTATTTCTGTTTTTGTCCTTATAAAAATGAGATGCCGGGCAACCCCCTCAGGTCCCCTCCATTGTAGGAGCTTTTCTGTCCTCTCAATAAATCCTTTTTCACTTAAAGAGAGAGAGAGAAAGATGCCAAGAATATACTTGGCTCAACACTATTAATAAATACACATATTTCAGACAAAAATGTGTATTCTATAATGTAAATTCACAGGAAAATTAACATTTTAAAGTGGGCTATATTTGGTGGCTATGATAGATCTATAATACCTACAGATCAAAATGAATAATGTTAGTATTTTTTCTTTTCTGGAAATCTTCTCAACAACTTTGACTTTTAAAATCTTTAATATCCTGACATTACATATGGCATGGAACACACTACCCCAAAATAAGTATTTCCTCTGTTCTTAAGAATAAATTTCAATCCAATTGTGACTACAATATTCTGTATATACTACTATTTTGGGGATAATGTTCTAAGCATCAAAAGCTGTCCTCAAATATGCTTGCTGCCTACAGAAGTTAACAAGCAATTTGTAAATGCTCTCTTCAGATAATTACTGCCCACCAACACCAAAATCCCACTGTAATTAAATAATACTGACTGTGATCTGAAACAGTACTGTGGATTCCTTCTGGCTTGGTGATTTGTACAATGTTGCCAACCTGCTTAAAGAAAAAGAATAAATATATGCAAACATATTACCTTAATTAACAGGATTACTAAATTCATAATTTAAATTTATAGTTTGTTTACTATAATTCTATTATTTTATCTACTGACACAGAAAGAAGAGAAATATAAAAACGACTCCCTGCAAACAATATCTATATGTATGCATACAATTATTATATATAAAAACAGTTGTTTATATAAGTGAAATTTTATTTTTATTTTATTTTATTTTTATTTTTTGAGTTGGAGTCTCACTCTGTCACCCAGACTGGAGTACAGTGGCCGCTCCCAGCCACCGCAGCCTCGACCTGCTGGGCTCTGGCGATCCTTCCACCTCAGCCTTCCAAGTAGCCAGAACTACAGGCGCGTGCCACCACACCTGGCTAATTTTTGATTTATTGTAAAGAATGAGGTCTCGCCAAGTTGCCCAGGTGGGTCTCGAACCCGCGGGCTCAGGCAATCCACTCACCTCAGCCTCCCAAAGGCACAGGATTACAGGCTGAGCCACCGAGCCTGGCTAAAAGTGAAATTTTGAAGCAACCCAAAAGTCTAAGGACTGATTCAAATGAATTTTATATATAATGAGATATAACTTATGCTGAAAACAAAAGGTGGAAGAAAATATTCAATAAGATAGAAAAGTATTAATAATATGTTAAGTAGCTGGGCATGGTGGCTCATGTTTATAATCCCAGCACTTTGGGAGGCCAAGGTAGGAGGATTGCTTGCTCAAACCCAGGCATTGGAGACCAGGCTAGGCAACCTCGTGAGACCCCCATCTCTACAAAAAAATTTTTTAAATTAGCCAGGCATGGTGGCACATATGCCCGCAGTCCTTGCAACTCAGAAGGCTGAGGTAGAAGCATAATCTGAGCCCAGGGGATTGAGGCTGTGGTGAGTCACAATTGTGCCACTGCACTCCAGCCTGGGTGACAGAGTGAGACCCTGACTCAAAAATAATAATATTTGCGACCCGCCTGGGCAACTTGGCGAGACCTCATCTCTACAATAAATCAAAAATTAGCCAGGCGTGGTGGCGCGCGCCTATAGTTCCAGCTACTTGGAAGGCTGAGATGGAAGGATCGCTGGAGCCCAGCAGGTCGTGGCTGCGGTGGCCGGGAGCAGCCACTGCACTCCCGTCTGTGTGACAGTGAGATTCCAACTCAAAAAAAAAAAAAAAAATTAATAATAATAATAATAGTAATAATAATACATTAAGTAATAGTTATACTGTATAAAACTACACTGAGTAAGTACATATATACACATAAAGAAAAATTGCTAAACTACAATACAAAAGTTAATAGTTGTCATCACAAGGTAAAGGTTGTTTATGTTTCCCAAACCTTCTGCAGTAATCATGTATTTTTTGTGTTATTATAGAAGAATGAAGGCAATTTCTTCATTCTTCGGTATACTCATATTATACCAATATAAATAAGCTAGGAAGACACACTGTTTTTTGTTTTGTTTTGCTTTTTTGAGTTGGAGTCTCACTCTGTTGCCCAGACTGGAGTGCAGTGGCCGCTCCCGGCCACCACAGCCTCAACCTGCTGGGCTCCGGCGATCCTTCCGCCTCAGCCTTCCGAGTAGCCGGAATTACAGGCATGCGCTACCACACCCAGCTGATTTTTTGATTTATTGTAGAGATGAGGTCTCACTGCCCAGGCGGGTCTCGAACCCGCAGGCTCAGGCAATCCACTCACCTCAGCCTCCCAAAGGTGCGGGATTACAGGCTGAGCCACCGAGCCTGGCTGACACATTGTTTTAAGATGACTATGTCCCAAAAATCACTGTCATGACAGAACGAGGCCTATTTAGGTGGGATTATATTATGTATTATGCAAAGTAAACAACAGAAATTGAGAGCTGAAAGTAGTTGAGAAATAAAATATTAAGCTCATATTAACTATATTCAAATACTATAACAGCAACAAATATAAACAAAAAACCTTTAAAGTGCCTTTTTAAATTACTTTAAAACTGATACACTGTAACTTATCCACAAAAATAAGTAGAAGTAACCCCAAAATAGGAAAAGTAGAAAAGTAGTAGTCCAAAAGTAGTAATTCCAAAAGTAAAAGTAACTCAAGTATCATCAGCAGATGAATAAAGAAAATGTGATATACACATAGAGTAGAATACTATTCAGACTTTAAAAGGAAGGAAATTCTGACACATGCTGCAACATAAATGAACCTTAAAGACATTATACTAAGTGAAATAAGCTAGTCACAAGAGGACAAATATTGCATAATTTCAATTATATAAGGTATCTAGAGTAGTCAAAGTCATACGACAGAAGGTAGAATGATGGTTGCCAGGGACTGGGGAGAAAAGAGAACAGAGTTAGTGTTTAATGGATATAGAATTTCAGCATGGGAATATGAAAAAGGTCTGAAAATGGATCGTGGTGATGGTTATACAATATGAATATACTTAATGTCAGCGAACTCTACACTTAAAAATAGTTAAGTGGTCAATGTTATGTTACATATATTTTAGCACAGTTTTTTTAAAAATTGAAATAACTATACAAAATGCAGATTCCAACTTAGAGAAAAAAATGAGACTCTAAGGGTTACAAGAATCATTTCTGTATATAAAATATTATGTTGATTTGTTTTCAAAGACAATTCAAAAAGGACATTTTGGCTATGATTTGTTACTCTCCTATGTTGAAACTATGCCTCTCCTCAGGTACAATTTAAAAGAAAAGCAATCTGATAACATGGTCCATTAGCTTACTGTTATAGGTTTGTACTTTCAGCATGAAAGGTGCAGAATCCAGAACATCATATACTCTTAAATTTCAACTTTATGCATAAATAAAATAACTGCTAAGTAATATGTAACATAAGAATAGCTGTGTTGAATGGGATTATACATTTTTACAATGTTTTAGGGTTGATATTCTATCTTTGATGCAAAAATATAACCAAAAAAGAGGCAAGATGCACTAGTATAAAATCACATTTTGAACAAAAATTAACCAACCTTCTGAAAATGTAGTCTCTAAATCACCTCATATTGACAGTATGTTCAAAAAGGTACCCAGTGCATCTAACTTTTCTGAGGAATTTATTTAAAAGTAGTAAGCTTTTAAGAAGCATTTACATGTTTATTAAAGTAAAGGGGCATTAATTATTCTGGCTGAAAATCATCCTCAAATTTCTAGGTAAAACTACATTTTTACATGTCATACCTATATCTCACGAGATCTTTTCAAATAAGAAACTAAATCAAAGAATCACTTGGCTCATGGCCCCAGCTGGGATGAAGCTTAACATATGGCTGAACTACATAGTTTGGGTCAGGAAGAAACAAGACAGAAGCACAATTTGTGCTCTAAAACTGAGCACACATATGAAACTGTGCGGGGGTGTTGATATATTACTCCACTCTACCACCAGATCTTCTTGGCAAAGAGTAGTGTAATTCTGAACAATCTTGGCCTCAGAGTATCATGAATATGCAAATTAGAGGAAAACCCACATGAAATAAGGACACAGACAAAAGTATTTCTTTTAATAACTGTTGGAATATTATTCCATCATTAGTCAAAGGGTAAAAATCAGATTTACTGGTAGATGGGGGCTGAGGCATGAGATGGTACACCTAAGGTCAATTCCCAATATAAATCTGGCTATTTGCCATTGTTAGTTTTCTGCCCAAATGGAAAATGTTCATTTTATTTTATTTTATTTTATTTTATTTTATTTTATTTTTGAGTTGGAGTCTCACTCTGTCACCCAGACTGAAGTGCAGTGGCACGCTCCCGGCCACCGCAGCCTCGACCTGCTGGGCTCCGGCGATCCTTCTGCCTCAGCCTTCCAAGTAGCTGGAACTACAGGTGCAGACTACCACGCCCGGCTAATTTTTTATTTTTTATTTTTTATTGTAGAGATGAGGTCTCACCAAGTTGCCCAGGCGGGTCTCAAACCAGCAGGCTCAGGCAATCCACTCACCTCAGCCTCCCAAAGGCATGGGATTACAGGCTGAGCCACCGAGCCCAGCTGAAAATGTTCATTTTAAAACTATTTTTCCCCAACATGAATTTCTATTTCTATCCTTTCAAGATAAACTAAATTTTAAAAAGTATACAAGACTTCATGCAACTTTAATGACTTAAGGATATCTGGTTTCAAACAGTAAAGAACAAAACCATCCTCATTCTATTAAATGAGGTCATCTTATTTTGATTATATAAAGTTTGCACATTACCTATCATATATCCACAGCCTGAAAAGAAAAACAGTTTCGAAAAAAAGGGTTTTACCTAAAAAGAGTAAGACCTACACTTTCAGATTTGCTCGCAATCAACACAATACTATAATTACCTTCTAGAAACAGTTATTATGACAGTAAAGAAATGAACTCGATTATACAGCCAGCTATAAGATGTGGATAATACTACCTTTTCACAGAGTTACTTCAAAACTTAAATGAAATCATGTATACAGTGCTTTGCACAATAAAGGGCAGTTAATAAATATTCAATAAATGGTAGCTATTGTTTACTACTTATAGTCAGTTAACCTTTCTGGGCCTCAGTTTTTTTTACTTTTAATGATAATAAGTTAGATTCTTCAAATAATTTCTGAAAGGGTTATTTGAAATGTTGTATATGAGATGCCTAGTAAAATACCTAGCACAAGCAAGCACTCATTAAACTGATAGTTATAACATGTCGGAAAAATATTATACAACAGCTGATTTCCCCAGTCCTACCTATATTCAATGCCAGTGTTTGACATCATTTTCTAATTTCTTGGGAAGGATTTGTAAGAAGGTGAATTCATACAATAGTTAACTATTAAAAAGTAAGCATGATTTTCTGATGATCTTGGGTACCTAACCAATGCTAACTTTGACAATTTGACAATGAAGGCAAACTTTTTCTTCTGATGAGCTCATAAAAAGATACAATTATCTTGCTCTCCTATTATTTTTCTTCTTAAATATATTTTGTTAGGGAGTTTTTTATTATAGTATAGAGAAGACGACAACTGTATACTAGCTGAGGGGGAATTCTTCGGAACATTTAAATAATGGAATGAACTTTACAGATTAACCTAAATCTGGAGAAATATAAGCAATATGTTCAAAAGCCTCACAGCTACAGAACTATTGCCAAGTCTTTATAATAAGGACTGTTGTTGAGAAAATAACTCCTTTGTGAGTCTACTATACAGTGACTTATACACAAAATTACAGGAAACTATCTTAAATTGTAATCACAGAGAAAAAAATTAGAGAACTTATCAGTCATACTGGTTTTGAGTAAAAAATGTTTTTAAAATTAGTGGGAGGTAGTCAATAGTAAAACATTATATATCATGAAAAAAAAGTAACTTGAGCTCTGTGGAAATAAAGTGGGCTGAGTGTGGTGGCTCATGCCCGTTATCCTAGCACCTTGGGAGGCTGAGGTGAGAGGACTACTTGAGCCCAGGAGTTTAACATCAGCCTGAACAACATAGTGAGATCTCCTTTTTACAAAAAACTAAAAACTAGCTGGGCATGAGAGTGTACACCTGTAGTACCAACTACTCAGGAGGCTAAAACAGAAGGATAGCCTGAGCCTAGGAGGTCAAGGCTGTAGTGAGCCATGATTATGCCACTGCATTCCAGCCTGGAATGCAGGGTGAGACGCTGACTCAAAAAAATATATATATAGCCAGGCTCGGTGGCTCAGCCTGTAATCCCGCGCCTTTGGGAGGCTGAAGTGAGTGCACTGCCTGAGACCGCGGGTTCGAGACCTGCCTGGGCAACTTGGTGAGACCTCATCTCTACAATAAATCAAAAATTAGCCGGGCTTGGTAGCGTGCACCTATAGTTCCAGCTACTTGGGAGGCTGAGGCGGAAGGATCACCGGAGTCCAGTAGGTTGAGGCTGCAGTGGCCAGGAGCAGCCACTGCACTCCAGTATGGGTGACAGAGTGAGACTCCATCTCAAAAAATAAAAAATAAAAAATAAAAAAAAATAAAAAATACATATATACACACACACATATAAAATTTATTCTACTATGTGCTTAGAGTCAGTAAAACTTAACTTGGTCAGGCAGGATTTTTTCAGTTTGTAGAAAAATGCAGATTAAAAAACAGACAATATCTCTGACTAGGCCTAATACGTATTTAAGTAACCCTTTATTCCATCTCTGCCCACATACTGTCTCAATTTCCCCTTTTATTAGAGCATTTCCAAACTAAGTTCTCCAGGTTATGCTAATTAATCACAAAGCAGAGAGGCTGGCATACAACTGACATTTTCTAGAAGTGTAGAATAAAAGCCTTCACAGCTTTCAATGGCCTATTTTAAAGAAAATAAAGCTGGTTTGTTCACTTGCTCAGCAGCTTTAAAAACAAATACAAAAGTCTCATGCTACCATACTTTTATTTTAAAGAATAATACTTGTAAAAGGCATGTAAGTAACTGGATAATAAAAGCAGGGTAAGAAAATACAAAAAAAAAAAAAACAGACACAATTTCATACAAGAAATGTACTAAGCAACTAAGAAAAGCCATCCTATTTTCCACATAAATTAGTCTTTAAGTTAAACTTCAAAAGCTTTCCTTTTATCCTGATTTTATTCTTTTTATTTATTCCCTTCCAGGAACACAGAGTACCCATTTCCTTCTACATGGCTAATAAATGATTTCAAAGAGTTTTAGAAATGGGCATTCCTTGGCCACCTACTTGTTCAGGTGCACACACCCTAGCATTTAAATATTCCAAAGAATTTCCTAGGTAGATAAATGTGCAATATAACAACATGTTTCTTTTTTTTTTTTTTGAGTTGGAGTCTCACTCTGTTGCCCAGATTGGAGTGCAGTGGTCGCTCCTGGCCACTGCAGCCTCGACCTGCTGGGCTCCGGCGATTCTGCAGCCTCAGCCTTCCAAGTAACTGGAACTACAGGTGCGCGCTACCACGCCCGGCTAATTTTTTTGATTTACTGTAGAGATGAGGTCTTGCCAAGTTGCCCAGGCGGGTCTCAAACCCACAGGCTCAGGCAATTCACTCACCTCAGCCTCCCAAAGGCACGGGATTACAGGCTGAGCCACTGAGCCCGGCTTAACAACATGTTTCCTTTTTTTTTTTGAGTTGGAGTCTCACTCTGTCACCCAGACTAGAGTGCAATGGCTGCTCCCGGCCATCGCAGTCTGGACCTGCTGGGCTCCAGCGATCCTTCCACCTCAGCCTTCTGAGTAGCTGGAATTACAGGCATGCGCTATCACACCCAGCTGAGTTTTTGATTTATTGTAGAGATGAGGTCTCGCTGCCCAGGCGGGTCTCGAACCCGCGGGCTCAGGCAATCCACTCACCTCAGCTACTATGTTTGCTCTAGGTGATGTCAGATCAGGCAACAAAAGTATCAGTTCATGGGTCACTGTGGAGCTCATCCATAGGAACAGTTCTAAGAAACTGGTTAGTGTTCAATGTAATTGTAATCAATGTAAAATTCACAATTATTAAATTGTTTTTATACTAACCTTTGCTTTCGGTCCCAGTGAAAGATCAGCCGTATTGTAGCAGCATGTCCCCAACTTTCCCCTGAGAGAAAAGAACATAACAACTATACATTGCCTTACTAAATTGCAAGTTTCTCAGAATGCCTCTGACCAAATATAGTCTTACTTTATTTAACATAGTAAGAGTATACTTGGTTTTTAAAAAACCTGGGAAATAAGTAACACCCTGAGATTAATAGACTTTTATTTATCTAGAGAAATACCACAAACCATTCTCTATTTGCTTTTAGAAAACTTTTATAGTTTGAGTTAGTATATGTGTCAATCTTCTATCTCATCAAACCTACTAACATTTCTCACCCCCAGAAGAAAATTTAAAAGTTTGACAGAATAGTCTTTTTTTTGAGTCAAAGTCTCACTGTTGCCCAGTCTGGAGTGCAGTGGCATGCTCATGGCCACCCCAGCAACGACCTGCTAGAATCCAATGATCGTTACACCTCAGCCTTCCAAGCAGCCAGAACTACAGGCGCGCACTACTACGCCCAGCTAATTTTTTTAAATTTTATTGTAGAGACAAGGTCTTGCCAAGTTGTCTGGGCTGATCTCGAACCCGTTGGGCTCAGGCAATCCCCTCGCCTCGGCCACCCAAAGTGCTGGGATTACAGGCTGAGTCACTGAGTCTGGCCTTGACAGAATATTCTTAAAGATTTCAGTGAAAACAAAACTTGAAGCACTGTGTTCTAACAAACCAGGAGTGAATTTAGGAACAGAGTCATAAATCTATTTACTGTATCATGATTTGTATTTAAATGGATTCACCCTTCCTCCTGAAAGATTGTGAATTTTCTGAGGGCAAGAATCATCTTACGAATACTTATATCCCCAGTACTTGACACAATAGTTGTCAAATAAAATAGATAGTCAATAAATGTTTGTTAAGTAACTGAAAGGAACAGCCAGTATCTGAGACTGTGCTTAGTGCTAAGATTTGCCAGTGAACAAGACAAATACTCTGCTTTCATGGAGCTTACAGTACTCAACAAGAATCTAATGAGATAGAAAAAAATGTCTTTAGTTAAAATGTTTATCTGATTAATTACCCACCTAATGCAGGAACTAGCAAGGCCTGATTTTTATCAATCTTTGTTGTCATCTGATTGGTTAAAATTACCTACAAAAACAAAATATGAGAAAATTGGGTGAATTGCTCCCAAAATTATCAAGTAAACAGTCCTGTGATTTTAGTATTCTGAATATAATTTACCTATTAACAAAAGACATTTAGTATTTTTTGGATAAAAAATTGGCCTCAGCCTCCCAGGTAGCTAGGACCACAAGTGTGTGTTACCATGCCCAGCTAATTTTAAAAAAATTTTTGGAGAGACAAGATCTCACTGTTTTCCAGGCTGATCTTACACTCCTGGGCTCAAATGATCTCCCCGGGTCTTCCAAAGTGCTGGGATTACAGGCGTGAGCAATCACGCCTTGCTAAAAGACAGTAATTTTTAAGCAGGAAAACAAAAGTGTTTCAGACTAACTTAATAAAGTACAAGTCAGATGTCTGGCATATTTTCATTCAAAAGTCTACAGAAATGGTTATTTTACATATTTTTCTAATATAGATCTTCCCTTCAGAAAGAAGACAATTACTAACACAAGCTGAAACTGACAAAAGAAATTCTATAAAACACAATAAGATGACTACTATGAAAAAAATAATCAATTCCATAAGAAAACTGGTAAACAAAAGGCTGTTTTGTAGTGGTAACAACCTAAAATTTCTGTTTAGCCACAGAGGAGAAATCTGTGAACACTCTAGATCTCAATTAGATATCACTAGATGGCATGACTTTCTTCTAGTTCTTCTCCCCTTACATGCCATAGTGCCTTCTCTGTTTGTGATCTCACATCAGGCAACTTGGAACAAGCTAAGGAGGAATTTTAATTGGTAATTAACTGAAGTATATTACTAAGTATTTTACGTGGGTTACTAATACCTAAGCTCTAGCAACTGGAATATTTACTTATGCTCATGCTTTATGTTTAGAGGTGTGCTATCCAATTCTGTAGCCATTAGCCACATATATCATTTAAAAGTTAAACTAAAACTAGAAATTCACTTCCTCCATAGCATTAGCTATATTTCAAATGCTCAATAAGCCTTGCAGCTACTGTACTAGTCTGCACATTTTTCTTACCAGAAGTTCTATTGGACAATGCTGGTCGAGAGCATATTTAGTTTATCCATTATGTATCTTCAGGAAAAGGTAAACAGAAATACTGATGTACTAGCTGTTCAACATCTCAAAATCAGATTCTGCATTATTAGCAAATATTTACAAAGTAATTACATTATTTCTGCAAAAATGTTGGTCTCCATGATAAAAATGAAAACTATCATGTGATTACACCAAGCTTCTAAAGAATAAGTCTTTAAAATAGTAGTAAAGACTGGGCATGGTGGCTCACACCTATAATCCCAACACTTTGGGAGGCCCAGGTAAGAGAATTACCTGAGCTCACAGGTTCAAGACCAGTCTGGGCAACTTTGGCAAGACCTCATCTCTACAATAAATAAAAAAATAAGCCAGGTGTGGGGGCACACGCCTGTAGTTCCAGTTACTTGGAAGGCTGAGGAAGAAGGATCACCTGAGCCCGGCACGTGGAGGCTGCGGTGGCTGTGAGTGTGCCACTGCACTCCAGCTGGGGCAACAGAGACAGACTCCAACTCAAAAATAAAAATAAAAATAAAACAGTAAAGTAACAATCACTTTGAAATTATGAGTTTCGGTGCCTTAAAAATACTGTTGCTATCCAAATGTCTTTTAACTGATGAACAGATAAACAAATGTGGTATATCCATAAGATACAGAAGTATTCAGCCATAAAAAGGATACCGATACATGCTACAATACAGATGAATCTTGAAAACATTATGCTAAGTGAAAGAAGTCAAACATAAAATACCACATATGATTCTATTTATATAAAATGTCCAGAAAGACAAATCCAGAGACAGAAAGCAAATTAGTGGCTGTCAGGGAATAGGAGGAAGGCAGAATGGGAAATCACAACAAATGGAAAGAGGGTTTAAAAAGAAATGTGAAACTATGTTTCCCAAAATTACTTTCCTTTTATGGCACCAAGTTCCAGTTGACCACAAGAGAAATTTGCATGAAATATGAAAGGTTTAAGTGAAGGAGATTTTGGGGTTTTTTGAGTCAGAGTCTCACTCTGTCGCCCAGGCTGGAGTGCAGTGGCATGTTCATGGCCACCCTAGCATCAATCTGCTGGGCTCAGACAATCCTTCCACTTCAGTCTTCCAAGTAGTCAGAACTATAGGCACATGCCATCACGCCCGGCCAATTTTTAAAATATATATTGTAGAGACGAGGTCTCACTAAGTTGCCCAGGCTGGTCTCGAAACCCCGGGCACAGGCAATACTCTCACCTTAGCCTCCCAAAGTGCTGGGATTACAGGTTTAAGCCACTGTGCCTGGACAAAGCAGACATCTTTAATATTCTGAATGTCATTGGTGGGAGTTTCTTTTTGAGGGTGATAAAAATGTTGTAAAATTAGACAATAGCAATGACTGCACAATTCTGTAAATGCACTACAAATCACTGAATTGTACACTTTAAGGGTGAAATATATATATGTGTCTATGTGTATATATATATACTTATATATCCTTAGAGATGAGGTCTCGCTACATTGCCCAGTCTGGTCGTGGGCTCAAACAGTCCTCCCACCTCAGTCTCCCAAAGTGCTGGGATTACAGGCGTGAGCCATCATGCCTGGCTTAAAGGGTGAATTTTATGGTATATAGATTATACCTCATTAAAACTGTTTACAAAAAGCATTTCTGCTAATGATTAAAAAACTACATTTTTTTTTTTTTTTTTGAGTTGGAGTCTCACTCGGTCGCCCAGACTGGAGTGCAGTGGCCGTTCCCGGCCACCACAGCCTCGAGCTGCTGGGCTCCGGCGATCCTTCCACCTCAGCCTTCCGAGTAGCTGGAATTACAGGCACGCGCTACCACGCCCGGCTGATTTTTTGATTTATTGTAGAGATGAGGTCTCGCTGCCTAGGCGGGTCTCGAACCCACGGGTTCAGGCAATCCACTCACCTCAGCCTCCCAAAGGCGCGGGATTACAAGCTGAGCCACCGAGCCCGGCTAAAAAACTACATTTTTAAAGAACTTTCCCATAGAAGTTTGGCAAAGATTTAAAATAAATGGACTGGTAACACCTAAAGTTGGCAAAGTTATAAAAAAAAAAAGAATTCCCATTCATTGTAGAGATACTCTTTGGAATATGCTTTCTGAGGGTAATTTGATAATATATAACAAAATGCTTAAAAATAGGGAAATTTATTTGGCTTTATACTTTCACTTTAAGAAATTCTTTCTAAAGAAATAAACAAATGGAAAAAGATGCATATATAAAGCTGTTAACTGTAGTGTTTTATTATTATAATTTTTTTTTCAGTCAAGGTCTCACTTTGTTACCCACGCTGAAGTACAGTGGTATAATCATAGCTCACCACAGCCTCAACCTCCTGGGCTCAGGTGATCTTTCTGCCTCAGAATTCCAAATTGCTGGGACTATAGGCATGTGCCACTACACCTGGCTCACTATGTTGCCCAGGCTGGTCTCAAACTCCTGGGCTCCAGCAATTCTCCTGCCTCAGTCTCTCAAAGTGCTGAGATTATAGGCATGAGCCACCACACCCAGACAATTACAGTGTTTTAAATGGTAAAAAATTGGAGCCAACTTAAAGACAAAGGGAGGTGGTTAAATAAACTATGCTACAATCATGCAATGAAATATTATGCTGCTGTTAAGGTAAGGAATAAGTACTGTATGAGTACATGAAAGGATGTTCACAATATATTGAGTAAAACACAAAAACTACCTTGCATAATAGCATGTATAATATAACCTCATTTCCTAAAAATTATAAATTTGTGATTGTATATGTACAGAATAAAGTCTGTAAAAATATTTACACCAAAAAAACAATAATCACCTCTTGAATAACAAATAATCCATTTCTATATTTTTGGTTATTTGCAACTTTTTAATATAATAAACACACATAACTTAAAATTATAAAACATTTATTATCAAGTCATATATGCTTCTATAGGCTAACTAGGAAAAACAGTTAAGCAAGGAATTTATAAAGTAAAAGGGAAAAGTATGTCCCTAACCTCAGAAAATTCTATCCCTAGAGGAAGCCACTGTTTTGTTTTGTTTTTTCTTTTTGAGCTCGAGTCTCACTCCATCACCCAAGCTGGAGTACAGTGGCACATTCACAGCCACACCAGCTGGGCTCAGGTGGCCCTTCCGCCTCAGCCTTCAAAGTAGCTGGAACTACAGGCATGTGCTACCATGCCTGGCTAATCTTTTGATTTACTGTAGAGATGAGGTCTTGCCCAGTTGCCCAGGCTGATCTTGATTCCGTGGGCTCAGGCAATCCCCTCACCTTGGTCTCCCAGAGTGCTGAGATTATAGGCTTGAGCCACCACCCGGCCAGAAGTAGCCACTGTTAATATCCTTTCATATTTTCTTCTTCATATATATAAATGTATACATATAATTGTAATTTTTCTCAAAAGTGGGATTATACTAGATATCTTTGTGCACCACTTAAATTTTTTTCCCTTAATCATATATCTGAATATATCCTGCTCCATGTTAGTACATTTGTATCACTCTTCTTTATTTTTACTTTTTATTTGTTTTTGATTTTTTTTTTGAGAGCCAGGGTCTTACTTTGTCACCCAGGCTGGTGTGCAGTGGTGCAATCATAGCTCACTGCAGCCTTGAACTCCTAGACTCAAAAGATCCTCTGGCCTTAGCCTCCCAAGTAGCTGGGACTACAGGTGTCTGCCACCACACTCAGATAACTTGTGATAGACACAGGATCTCATTTTGTTGCCTAGGCTGGTCTTGAACTCCTGGCCTCAAGTGAGCCTCCTACCTCAGTCTCACAAAATGCTGAGATTACAGGGGTGAGCCAACATGCCTGGCCAACATCACTTTTCTTACACACTGCATACTATTTCACATTTTCGAATTTTGAGATTACATTTTTAATCAGAAAAGATGAAGCTATTTCTGCTAAAACAAAAACCTAAGGAACTATGCAACCCATTAGTCTTGAGTGCCCCCTACTGGGGGCTCTTCACTGATATTAACAAAATGCTAAACTGCAATTAATAGCAAGGATAATTAAAACACAGGACACTATGATTTTCAGCATATGGCAAAAGTCTGGAAACTCAAAGAAAAGATGTATGCTTTGAAATAATTTTATTGGGGGAGTTATTTATTTATTTATAATGTATTATAGGTATGTACTAAGGGGTCTCTAATCACAGTATGGACAAGGTAAGTCAAGCAGTTTGACCTTCTTCCATCTCACTCCCAGACAAGTGTGTATCTTTGTGTCAGTGGTGAGATGCAGTTGCAGACTGGGAAGTAACAGGCAGTTAATTAAAAAAGATTTTTACCTCACTCCTTTTTATCTCTTCATTTCTGAGTTTATATTTACCTCTCTCCTCACATTTCAAATCTAGAATTATTATTTAGCTCTACCTCAAAACATCTAGGTTATTTTACCATGCAATTTTTCCATCTATCTGAGTCTGTGATCATATACTATGTAATAATTAAAGACGCAGAGTAAAAGAAAAACAAGGATCTGTTGAAAGAGTTTACCTGAAAAACATCCAAGTATATTTAGACAAAGAAAACACTACAATCACCAAAGACAACTTAAAAAAAAGTCAAAGTCCATTTCAGAAAATGACATATTGACTATACTTATTATTTTGCAGGAATACTGACTGACACATAACACTTATGACTAGAATTATTATTATTCTTTTTAGAAACCAAAGCAAAATAAAACTATATTCAAGACTGCATGTCTATATTATTTGCTTTTAGTTAGGAAAATTTTATTTTGCTATTTCTAGAAAATATTTTTTTTTTTTTTACTCACCACTATACTAACAAGGAGACATTAATATTTTATATACGCTCGACTTTGTTATAAAACTCTGGCCAGGCGTGGTGGCTCATACCTTTAATCCCAGCACTTTGGGAGGCCGAGGTGAGAGGATTGCCTGAGTCCATGGGTTTGAGCCCAGTCTGGGCAACTTGTAAAGACCTCATCTCTACAATAAAAAAAAAAAAAAATAGCCGGGCATGGTGACATGTGCCTGTAGTTCCAGCTACTTGGAAGGCTGAGTCTAGCAGGTCGAGGCTATGATTGCCATGAGTATGCCACTGCACTCCAGTCTGGACTACAGAGTGAGACGCTTGATTCAAAGAACAAACAAACAAACAAAACCTCTCTTTACTAGTAATACTTACAGATAATCTGTGATTGTTTGCAAGGCTGATCATTTGCTGGGCTAGGCCATTTAGTAATCGAGTACGAAGAGACAGGTCATCTAGGTCATGACGAAAAGGAAAAGCAATGCCATCCACTATCACTAATCGAACCTGAATACCAAAAAAAAAGTAATATTAGATTTGTTATAAAATATAAATAATAAAAATAGCATCCAAAATGTGCAGTCCATTACAGAAAGAAAAGCTTAAACTCCAGGGCTTTGTTTCCAACTCTCCCAAGAATGCCTTTCTTTTGGAGAGTTATAGATGTATTAATCAGTGCTTTCTTTAATAACCACTAAAAGTTAAAACAGACTCTGGTTTGATAATTTATCAAATTAAAAAAGGAAATAAAAACAGAAATAATTACAATTTTCTTATAACTTGCCACTATATAGCCTTTACTGACCAAAAAAAATTACATTTAAACTTTGGTAAAACAAATTTCTCAAATACCAATTTAACCTTCACAGTTCCTTTTATGTTAAAAAAAAAAGTGCTTCAAATATTAAATTATAATATCTTCTTACAAAGTTAATTCTTTGGCCAGGAGCTGTCGCTCACGCCAGCACTTTGGAAGGCGGAGGCGAGAGAATTACCTGAGCTCAGTGGTTCAAGACCAGCCTGAACAACATGGTGAGACTTCATCTATACAATAAACCAAAAAATTAGCCAGGCATGGTAGCGCGTGCCTGTAGTTTCAGTTATTTGGAAGGCTGAGGCAGAAGGATCGCCTGAGCCCAGCAGGTTGAGGCTACAGTGGCTATGAGAGTGCCACTGCACTGCAGCCTGGGCAACAGCAAGACTCAAACAACAAAAAAAGTTAATTCTTTATGCACTTTTCCCCTTTAATTTAATTTTATTTTATTTGAGTAGGAGTCTCACTCTGTCACCCAGGTTGGAGGGCAGTGGCATGCTGTAATCCTGGCACTTTGGGAGGCGGAGGTAAGAGGAATGCCTTATTCCAGGGGTTCAAGACTAGCCTCGGCAACTTGCTGAGACCTCATCTCTACAATAAATCAAAAAAATTAGCTGGGTGTGGTGGCATGTGCCTGTGGGAGGCTGAGGTAGAAGAATCACCTGAGCCCAGGATGTTGAGGCTGAAGTAGCTGGGATCATGCCACTGTACTCCAGGTGGGTGACAAAGTGAGAACTCAACCAAAAAGGAAAGAAAGTAGTAAGGGGAGAAATAGTAGGAAAAGACATCAGACAAGTACATATAGTGTGCTAAAGCTGAATCCTGCAGGCAACTGAACCAAGTGCTAAATTGAAAAAACTTCTGTGAGACAGTCATTAAATGCTGCCATTAGTAAAAATTAAGCTACATGAATTATGAGTAAATAAATTATGTTAAAATATGAATCATACTCAAAACTCTTCCTAATTATTTTACTATTATCTACACATTTAAGGTTATTTACAGCTATTATATCTTTATGTTGGAACTATTATATAATGATGTGCTAGTGTACTTCCTTCTCTACTCAGTGTTTGATGGCATCATATTGGTAGCTTGAAATCAGCCATGAGAGGAGTATTTTCTCCAAAGAAATTGGCAAATAAATCAGCTACAGATTAAAGCATGTTTTACTGATTGCCTATTAGTAATCAAATAAAGGAAGAAAATGTCAAAATCAGATTGAAGTAAAAAAATGTGTTGTGGGCATGGTGACTCACGCCTATAATCCTAGCACTTTGGGAGGTGGTGGTGAGAGGATTGCCCAAGCCCAGGTGTTTGAGACCAGCCTAGGCAACATAGTGAGACTTCATCTCTACGATAAATAAAAAAATTATCTGGATATGGTAGTGCATGCCTGTAATTCCAGCTACTTGGAAGGCCGAGGTAGAAGGAAGATCACCTGAGCCCCCCAGGTTGAGGCTGTAGTAGCTGTGAGTGTGTCACTGCACTCCAGTCTGTGAGTGCAGTGAAGCTCTGACTCAAAAAAAAAAAAACTGTTATGTCTACAGTTGTGAATTACACAAGAAAATAAAGGAATATTTTAGTATTAGAAAACTAACCAGTTTAAAAAAAATTTACACTTTCGTTGTTTTACTTTTATCATACTTGTTAACTTAAACAAAAATATCAACTAACATTCATGTTAAAATAGTACTTGTTCATAAATGATATGAGCAACTTATTTTGAAGTGAACAGTAATCAAATGCTTGTAGGTAACTTGATTTTGCCAAATAATAGTATAAGTTGAATATATGAGTTTAGAAGAACTCAAATAAACAGAAACTTCACACAGCGGAGACAGAAATGTAAAATGGTTCATCTGTTACAGTTAACAGTTTGGCAGTTCCTCAAAATTAAACCTAAAATTACCATATGACCTGGAAATTCCACGCCTAGTATATATCCAAAAGAACTGAAAAAATGGTATTATGCCAAATACATACACACATGATTATAACAGCACAATTCACAATTGTCAAAAGATGGAAATAGTCCAAATGTCCATCAAATGATGAAAGGATAAACAAATTGTGGCATATACACACAATGGAATATTATTCAGCAATAAAAAGAAATGAAGTACTGACATGCTACAGTGTGGATAAACTTTGAAAACATTACCCTAAGTGAAAGAGCCAGACAAAAGGTCACATACTGTATGATCCCATTTATATGAAATATCCAAAATAGGTGTACCTATAGAGATTGGTGTCAACACAGATTAATGGTTGCCAGGGGACCGGGGGAGACAGACAAATAGGGAGCAACTAATTAATGGTGGGAGGAGTTTCCTTCTGGGATGATAAAAATGCTTTGGAACTAGAGGTGGTGGTTGCACAGCACTGTAAATGTACTACCCCACACTGAATTGTTCACTTCAAAATGGGGAGTTTTGTTATGAGAATTACACAATTATTTGTTAAAATAAGAAAAATCAAGGAAACCTTTCTGTAAGAATCAATTGACTAGATGGAATTTACAAGAGTACTGTACATTTTATTATTAGCAAAATTTATAATAAACTTGCGTGTGTGACTCTTGAAAAGCCAGTTGTTACACATTTACCAGCACAACAATGGAGAAGTAAGAAGAATCAGATTAGTAGGGGCTGATATATTTATTCAGTGGCTCTCAAAAGCCAGAAGATGATGAGACGACATAATCAAACTGATGAAAGAAAACACTATCAACCAAGAGTACAATATATGGCAAAAGTATTCTTCAAAAATGAAGCAGATGCAAGGCACAACAGCTCACACTTGTAATCCCAACATATGAGAGGCCAAGGTGAGAGAATTGCTTGAGCCCGGGAATTTGAGACCAGCCTGGACAACATAGCGAGACCTTGTCTCCACAATAAAAAATTTAAAAATTAGCTGTACATGGTGGTGCATGCCTGTAATTGTAGCTACATGGGAGGCTGAGGCAGAAGGACCATCTGAGCCAAGTAGTTTGAGGCCCCAGTGAGCCAAGATCATGCCACTGCACTCCAGCCTGGGCGACAGAGTGAGATCCTAACTTAAAAAAATAAAAAAGGAAATAAATAAAAAGCACTGGTGAATATAACTAGATAGGTAAATATAAAAGTCAGTAATTATTTTTATTTTTATTTTTTTTAATGTTTGAGTTGGAGTCTCACTCTGTCGCCCAGACTGGAGAGCGGTGGCACACTCCCGGTTACCGAAGCCTTGATCTGCTGGGCTCCGGCGATCCTTCCGCCTCAGCCTTCCCAGGCGCGCACTACCACACCCGGCTAGTTTTTGATTTATTGTGGAGATGAGGTCTCAAACCCTGCAGGCTCAGGCAATTCACTTGTCTCGGCCACCCAAAGTGCTGGGATTACAGGCTGAGCCACCGAGCCCGGCCAGTAAGTATTTTTAGTTTGTAACTTTCTTTTTTTTGGAGTTGGGGTCTCACTGTTGCCCAGGCTGGAGTGCAGTGGCCCAATCATGGCTTACTGCAGCCCTGACCTCCTGGGCTCAGGCAAAGGACAATTTGTATTCAAGAAAATATTATTCTAACACTTATTAAAATTGTGAGGAAGATTTTATTCAATATTATTGCAATAAGGGGTAGCCCAATAGGGGAGAGAGACTAGATGCAAATCCAAATATAACAGGGAAATTTGGATACTTACAACCAGGGAGCAAGGTGAAGGGCTCATTGGATGGAAAATTACTAAAGGAGACAAAACCATCCTCACAGAGTTAATAAGAATTCTGGATAGTAATACAGTTATCAATAAGCATTAATCAGACTGACCACTGACCCACTTCCTTGTAACTAAAAGTCACATAGCACTAGATACTGATTGTTTACATCCCCGTGCAATGGGGCAGGGATCTTGTTTCAGGGAAAAAAAGGAAAGCATAGAAAGAAAGGAAAATCCTGATTTCCTTCAAGGGAAATCCCAAGCACCTTAGACAGCCTCAGAAGTAAGTAAGTAACGTGTTGAACAAAAAGATAATAGTACCCCAAAACAATAATCAAGGAAGTAAGAGTTCCATAGAAACTAAGGATAATACCTGAGCATATGTCCCTGAGTTGTCTTTCAGAAACTTGGACCCCCACTGAGTGGATCCTCTCACATATAGGCCTAAGATAAGGGGGAAGTGAAGAATAAAATATAACTATCATCCTTTGTTGTAAGTTTTTGCCTGAGGGGTTTAGAGAAAGTCACTATCCTTAATCAGTTAACATTTTTCCACTGACCCCCAAACTTTATTTTTTATTTTTATTTTTTGAGTTGGAGTCTCACTCTGTCACCCAAACTGGAGTGCAGTGACGGCTCCCAGCCACTGCAGCCTCGACCTGCTGGGCTCTGGCAATCCTTCCGCCTCAGCCTTCCAAGTAGCTGGAACTACAGGCATGTGCTACAACACCCGGCTAGTTTTTGATTTATTGTAGAGATGAGGTCTCGCCAAGTTGCCCAGGTAGGTCTCGAGCCCGTGGGTTCAGACAATCCACTCACCTCGGCCTCCCAAAGCGCTGGGATTACAGGCTGAGCCACCGGGCCCGGCCTCCTTCAAAACTCTAAAACAAAGTTTCTCTTCCTTAACCAATTATAAATCAGAAAATCTCTGAATCTACCTATGACCTGTAGGTAGGCCCTGTTTCAAGGTTTCTTGCCCTTTCAGGCCTAAACCAATGTGTGACGTCCATGTATTGATTTATAATCTTGCCTGTAGCTTCTGCTTCCCTGAAATTTACCCACCGCCTGCAAGTCAGCAAGGAGGTCAGGATTTGGGCATGTGGTTCCCTGATCCTCCTTGTTTGGCATACTGCAATAAGCGTATTTCTTTCTATCACTGAAAACCATGATATAGATATCTAGTTTTATCGCACTGGGCAAACACATTGCAGTTCAATTCTAAAACATCCATTGATAGCATTTCTGATGATAGAATCATAAGGCTTTTGTTGTAGACAAGATTTCTGACATTAGACTCATAGATGTTTGTTTAAGAATTGTTTATAAATAAAAAGCACAATCCCATTCACAATAGCCACACAAAAAATGAAATACCTTGGCATCTTCCTAACCAGAGAAGTGAAAGACCTTTATAATGAGAACTACAAAACACTGCTCAAAGAAATCTAAGAAAAGCCGGGCTCGGTGGCTCAGCCTGTAATCCCGAGCCTTTGGGAGGCTGAGGTGAATGGATTGCCTGAGCCCGCGGGTTTGAGACCTACCTGGGCAGCGAGACCTCATCTCTACAATAAATCAAAAAATCAGCCGGGCGTGGTAGCGCATGCCTGTAATTCCAACTACTTGGAAGGCTGAGGTGGAAGGAT